TTACTATTAATACTTATATCCTATATTAAGGTTTAATTTTCTTTCTCTTTTTTCTTTATAGTATTTAAAAAGTTAGTTATTAATCTTAATAATATATTTAATATAATCCCTAAAACTAAGAAGTTTATTAACTTTAGCTATTTTATTTTTAATATTATCCTTAAGTCCTTAATAGAAAGTAAAAACTTTATTTTTATTAGTTATATTAAGTTAAGAAGTAATTCTTTAGAATTTAGCTATATAAAGAGAAATAAACTTAATTTATTTAAAATAAGCTAAATTATACTTAGTTTATCTTTTTTTATTTAGTTCTAAGAAAAGTAATTAAAAGGTTTTAATATATCTTATAAAACTAAAGAAGATATTTTTAATTTCTTAGTTATATTTCTTAATAAAGTTATTAAACTATTCTTATTAAAGAGGTTTAAACTAAACTAAAGCTTATTTTCTAAAGAAAGTAGCTATATATACTACTTATTTAGTTTTATTTTAAAAAGTATTTATATAAAAAACTTAATAAGTTTATATCTAAACTAAATATCCTTTAAATTATTTTAAAATCTTATTAAAAGTAGTAAGGGAGTTAAGTTTAAGTTATTCTTATTTTTTAACTAAAACTAAAATAATATTAATAATAGCTTAGAGAGTAGTAATTTCTTTTTCTAAGTTTTAGTTCTTATAAGCTTATTCCTAAAATTTATTAAAAACTATAATATTCTAATTAAATATTTTATATATTACTTTAAAGTTATTATTAGTTTTATTAAACTAATATTTAAGTTTTTTAGTATTATCCTTACTATTTAAATTATCCTTTATTTTCTAATCTCTTAGTTCTTAAACTAAGTTCTAAGTAGTTTATCCTCTAGAAATAAATAAAAGTTTAAAAATAAATAACTTAATAAAAGTATAAAAAGATATTATTATTTATTACTATTAATAGGAATTAATAGTTAATTTACTAAATAAAAGTAATTAAAATATTATAGTTAGCTTTTTAATAGTAAAGTTTATTAATAGAAACTAAGGATTAATATATTATAATAGTATACTAAGTTATAATTTAAATTAAAAGTTATAAGCTATAGTAGATTAAGTTTTGAGAGACTAAAGTAATTAGTTTTAAGTTTAATAAGTAATTTATAATAAAAATAAACTAAAAGTATCCTAAAGATAAATACTAAATTAATTACTAAAGAGCTATAGAAATCTAACTATAAGCTAAGCTTAAGGTTATACTATATATAAGTTCTATATAATATCTTCTATAGTAACTATATAAGATATTTATACTATCTAATATATCCTATAAATAGCTAAAATAGTAGATATATTTAATATATCTATTCTTATCCTATATCTATATTACTCTTAAGGTTATATAACTTATACTATAGTTCTTCTTTCTCTAATAGTTCCTAGTTATACTTATATTACTACTTATATATATCTTACGTTAGCTGCTAAGATCCTAAGTAGGGTTATTCTAATATATTATACCTAACAGGTTGTAATATATAGCTATATTTATAAAGACTGGAAATATGCTATTAATACGTAAATCCTATGATTACAGAAAGATAACACCTTTATTAGCTTATATAAAACGAAAAAATCCTCTCTAATAAGCTTAATGTTAGAAGAGGCTTAAAAGGAGAAGTTTATTGCAGTCTTAGTAGAAGTTCTAACAAGTTAAATTACGTGAGGCGTGAAGAGCTATTAGCTGCAGCTTATACTCTATTGCATTAACAGCGTCTACCCTACAGTTTTTAGCCTGAAAAAGGCAAAAAAAGGGGCTTTTTTTCTAAAAAACTACTAAATCGCCCTAAGCTTTATATACTAATAACTCTATACGTACGCAATATATATAAATAAAAATTATATTATTAAATAGCCCTTAATTAATAGACTAATTAATTAAATTTCTAGCTATATATATTACGTATATATAGAGTTATTAGTATATAAAGTAAAGGGCGATTTTAAGGGGTTTTTAGAGTAAATAGTTTAATATAACGCACTAAGGGTTTTATTTTTTCTTTTTAGTATTATATTTAGTATCTACTAACCTAAAAACCCTTTAAAACTTATAAAATTTTATACTTTAATAACTCTCTATATATAAAATATATAAAAATAAAAAAGATATTACTTTAATCGCTTAATTAAAAGCTATTAATTAATATATTTTTTATTCTTATATATTATATATATATAGAGTTATTAAAGTGTGAAGTTTAGAGTAATTTAGGGGGGTTCTAGGTTAGTGGGAAATTTTCCTACTGGACAAAAGTGGGTAGTAGACGCTGTCAACACAACGGAGTGTAGTACCCACTTTCGATGGTGTTTCTTCCTAGTCCTTGCTGGCGCCCTACTCTAAGTCTTACTTAACCGGCACTGGGGAATAAACTCAAGGCGGAAGTCTATTATGCAGATAAATACTTGGAAGTCTCTATTTTAGTGGCTGAAGGTGCCCTGAAGTATCGCGAAAGATATCCGTGAGTCCCAGGTGGTTGAGCATCCAGGACGGAGAGTCCGGACGTGCCTCGCCAGCGCGATTGAATGATCGCGTTTTCCGTGTCTTTCCAAATGAGCATGTCCACTTACGACTCGCCGCTTTGCGAAACCGAGCGGTAGGCTTGTCATGAGTGGATGCGCATGGTCGCCAGGGCCACGAATCGTGACTCGTGACAGTTGTTTACTTGGTTTAGCAACCTTTGGGGCCTTTGCAGTCACTGAGCGTGTTAATGACGATAGGCAGTCATGACTCTCCTATCAGGGTGGCTTCTGTCTGGCACGAGGTTGTTCGAAGTCGAAAGTTGTCAAGAAATCACAGATTGGATTGATAATAGGGGCCCCTCCAACTTCATTAGTACATCCTGGGTTAAGACCCCACCCCACTTAACCGATCACCCCCTATAACCGATTAGCTGAAAACAGGTAATTTCAGGCTTACGACTTCAAACGTTAATATCTTCTGATTTATTGTAACTACTATAAAAAGCCCTTAAAACGAAATTCAAAGCACTAACTAGTAAATTAAGCTACTTAGTTTTCTTCTAATATTAAGTGATTAATATATAATATTACTAAGCGTACTGCTTTACGCTTTATAGCCTCTATAGCTTTCTACTTAGCCTCTATAATCTATAATATTATTATAAACTTCTTATTAGGTTTTAGCTTAACTTTAGTATACTATAATAGCTTATATTAATTAATAAGTACTTAGAGATAGGCTACCTCTTACTATAATATTAAGATCTTTATGTTGTTATTATTAATTATCTTATTAGCCTTAGTAAAGACTAGTATATATACTATATAATCCTACTCCTCTCTATACTAATAGCCCTCCTATATTAACTTATACCTTTAAAGGTTTACTAACTTAATAAGAGTAATAATAGTGAACTATAATAGTGTTTTAGGTATTTTAAGTAACTAGGGATCCTATAGGGATACCTTAAGTATATCTATAGGTACTAAGACTATTAGGAATAAGCTTATTAATAGCTAAGTAATATTAATAAGCTATAACTTAATAGCTAGCTACTTAGTATAAATATTTCTAGTTATAAATGTATTATTATAGGCTTAGAGGTAGTAGTATAGAAAATTCTGCTTCTTAATAGGTATAGAGTTAAGTAGGAGTCTATAATTATATGTAGCTTTATAGAAGGCCTTCTTAAGGGGTGAGAAGATTAATATATTAAGTAGCTAGATAATATAAGAGCTATAAGTAAGCAGATAAGCTAAATAAATCTATTTATAGTAATATAACTATATAAAGTCGTTAGATATATAACTTCTATAGCTATTAATAACTAGTAACTGCTTAAATTATAGATATTTAGCTTCTACTACTATATATAGGATAAAAACCTTCTTTAGCTACTTAAGACCTATAGTATTAGACGTCTACCTATTAGTTAATATAGTGAACTACTAGGAAGCAAAATTAGATATCTCTAAGGGGAACTATTACTGCTAAACGCTCTAACTAGTAAAGATTACTAGTAGTAATATAGTCTAGCTAGTAGTTAAGATATACTTAAGTATAGTTATCTATATATAGTTTTTTAAAGCTTAGATATATATAGTTTATCTCTAAGGTTTACTTAGTACTAAATAGTCTCTATCTAATCCCTCTATTAAACTAATCTTATCTATATTCTAATATAGAGATAGGGGGATATCCTTTACTTCTAGTAGATTAAATATCTTAAATAGATCTTTAATTATAGTAGTATTAATATCCTTTATATATTTAGAGTTAATAGCCCTTATTTTTAGTATTTTAATAATAGGGTTTTAGTATAGGAAGCCCTCTATCTACTTCTTATTAAGGGGGTATATATTACTACTAGTATAGATAATATAACTTATTAGTTTGTTAACTTATTTATAGGTAGGGGTAATACTAAGAAAGCCTTATATAGTAACCTATAATACTAGAGATACTTCCTAAGTAAGTATAAGGTGTTAGTATAGAGCTTTAGCTTCTTTATATATTCCCCTACTTCTAAAATAGCTATAGAGTGTTATATATAGGATACCTTAGTTATAAGAGGTTTATTAGATACCTATACTACCTAATACAGCTTCTTTAGTATTTTTAATATACTCCTTAGTGTAACTTAATATACTAAATTAACTAATATTTTCAAAAGAATTAATTTGTGGTGTTATAGTGTAGTTAATGCAGTGGGCGCAAAAGATGTGGTGGTGTTGTTATTAGTAAACGCGTTGTTTTCGGCTGATCGGTTATGGGGGGTGATCAGTTAAGTGGGGTGGGGTCTTAAGGGGCTAATGGAGCGTGCTAATACGGCAGTCGAATGCCCTAGGACAGGGTCCTCGGCAGTATTACCTAGAGTAACACAGTCAGTCTAATAAGTAAATAGGTTTCCCAACCTACCTTAATTGTCCTTGTAACAAGCTTTTCTCCTTCACTGTCTCAGGCCCGTTCAACCTACAACACCAACTAATCCGCCATCGCCATGCATTCGATATCGCTTAGTTTCATTCTTTCTTTGGCATTCCATTGGCTCTCTGCCGTCGAGTGCAGTCCCCTCGGAACTGTTGTCTCTCGAGGGGATTGCCGAGTCCTTACCGAAGTGACCTATTGGGGCATCGCATGCCAGAAGCAAAGACCTGTGTCGTGCCAAGCCGGCCAATCTTACGGGGGTGTTGTCAGCTTCAACGAGAAAACGACATTCCCCGCAGACTCAGTACCGATTTGCGAGCAAACGCTGGAGGTAAGTGTGATGCCGCGTATAACGAGGTCGAAGGTTAATATTTCGACTAGTACAAATGTTGCACTAGGTAGATGGGTTTTGCAAACATCAGCTGCCTTCTATTACATCAACCGGCTACCTACATATCATTCTATCATCACGCGTATTCCAAAATCTAAGGACACTTTCGACCCCTAATAGGTGTCAAGGTATGGAATAAGACCTAGCTCATCATCATGCGCTCCGATGCGTCCTTGACATTGCCCATGAGGCAGGCCAGCACTGCCTTTCTCTATGTTCACAGTGCCGCGCTGCACACGTAGGAGTTACTGTCTCCTGCTTCCATTATTCTTGCAACTTTACCGTGTATCTAAGCTGTTAAGACAATATCATCGCCTGGCTACGATGAAGTATAGGACCAGCCGCTATCACGCTTTAATGAGAGTAGGCTTTGCTATATCATAGCGATCACGATTGGTCCCTTGTACCAAACTGAAACTTAATACGCACTGAACGATGTCACGCCTGGGGGAAGCGTCACACTTAAGGCTTGTTGGCCGTATGTTGTGGTGGCTCGCTGAACAAGCATAAGCACGGCCGTGGAAGATATCTGACCCAATACACTAGGCTATGATGATCACTATTACTTGTTCATCAATCCGCTCAAACAGTAGACGGTTAGAAGTATCTCGGATATCCCCTGTTCAATGCACGTCTACGGTGACTAGTGCCAGCATCAGATGAATATCGACCTTCTTGATAGCTTGCTCATTGATCTACAGTTGATTTCTTACTGCGACGAGGTCTCCAGTTCGTGGCCTGACGGTGCAATCGGGCGCAGATTTGAGAAAGCATCGCAGGGTTGGTTGTTGGGCGGCCCTCGCAGCAGAGACAAGCATGAAGTTTTTGATACTGCAACAGGCTCAAAAACGAGGCGTAGCTGAATTAAAAGGGGTGTAGGTTTCCCCCTACTAACAGAAAGTGACAGATGAGGACAATAGTCCGAGCCCCAGACGAAAGCTATCATCGTGGAGTACGGGACGCCGCGCACTAAAACTCTTAGCGACTACCTGTCAATACTCGGGTTGACACATCTGGACATGCCTCAACACTGTAGAACGACGGAGCGAACGCGCCAAATTTTCAAAAAGAGCGAGGAACGAGGGACGAATACGAGAAACCCGACATGTGGGGCCGAAAACGCGTGTTTGACCCCGAGCCGGATGCCCGAGACCCGCTTTGCTGTCCGGCGCAGCCCAGGACCTGACGGTCGTAGTCGTGGTATGCCTTGCGATGTATTTCCTTCGGGGCTGTGTTTGATATTCTGCTGGTATGAGTGACCCCTTTCTGCTGCAGAGGTCGGCAATGAAACTCCTTTCCAGCACTCGAACTGTATGTTCAAAAGCCCTCAGGTCGCCGTCAATGGGATCGGACCAACTCACTCATCGTCGATCTTTCTACTTGCAGATTCTTCATTTCTGTCTTTCTTTGATATCTTCAGTCATCGGACTTGGTATTTGTTCTTTTCAGACTGCCTGATAACCATCACTCGCTACTTATCACAACACCCAGAACAGGCGTCGACCCGGCACACCATGGATCGCATTGTTCGCGATACTTCAGCCGCCGACATGTCAGAGGCAGCGGTTTTCAAACTCTACCACTATGATCCCACAGTAGCCGGCGCCGTTGTTTTCGTTTTCCTCTTTCTCGCAACCACTATCCTTCACTTCTGGCAACTAGTACGGTCGCGTTGTTGGTTTTTGATTCCTCTAACAGTTGGAGGTGTTTGTAAGTCCAAACCGCTGCCCTTAAGCTATGAAAGTCCCAAGCTCTCCGAATAATGTACTGATATTCTATGACTAGTGCAAGTCATTGGCTATGCAGCCAGAGCCAAGTCCGGCCAGGAGAGTCCAAACTGGTCCCTTGGCCCTTACATCATCCAGTCGATTCTTCTCCTTGTAGCCCCTGCTTTGTATGCAGCAACAGTGTACATGGAGCTTGGCAGAATAATCACTGTTCTCGATGGAGAAGGGTATTGTCTAATCCGAAAAGAGTGGCTCACCAAGCTTTTCGTCGCGGGCGATGTATTGTCCTTCTTCCTCCAAGGCGGAGGTAAGTTAAACAAAGCTTTTCCACAATTACGCCAGCGGTAACTCAGAATCTCAGGTGGTGGATACCAAGCCTCAGGGACTCTTGACGCCCTCAAGGCCGGCGCGAAGGTCATTATTGTCGGTCTATTCGTGCAGCTCATCTGCTTTGGATTTTTCGTGGTGGTCGCTGTAGCGTTCCATCGCGCAATCAACAACGCGCCAACCGGACGTTCCAACAGCAGCATTCCATGGAGGAAGCATATGACTGCTTTATACGTAGGAAGCTTCTTGATTATGGTCCGTTCCGTCTTCCGTGCGGCCGAGTATCTCCAAGGGTTCGACGGCTACCTGCTCAAGCATGAGGCATATCTCTACATATTTGACGCCTTGTTGATGTTCTTGGTCATGGTTTTGTTTAATTGGATCCACCCAGCTGAGATTGGAGCGATCCTGGCTGGAAGTGGTGGTAGCCAGCATTGGAAGATGGATAGCTTGCCTCAACATCACCACCACCAGCGTCTTTGAGGGAAGATTTTGTGATTCTCAGTAATCGCGTCAAGATGGAATGCATATGTACTCGGAGGTGGCAAAGGAGGTGATGACTGTATTGAGTTAGGCGGATACAGTTGGGACTTGTGTGTCACTATGCCTTTGTGGTAGCTTTGCTCATTTCGGGTATTAAACTATTTCAGCTCAAACCAACATACTCTATCGGCCAGGTGATCCACGACCTCCAGTAACTTCCGAGAAGGTCATCGACCACTTCTACAATGTCTTTTCCCCAGCCCTCGAAGAACCAATAGTCGTCGAGAGCGTGCATAAAAGCCCCAAAATAGCCAAACAGTACCAGCGCCGGTGGTTGTCGCTGGTGTAGAAGAGAGACATACTCCTGAGGTACAAAGTGGATGAATGTCAAAGGTCCTGCCCAGTCCCTATTGAACCCCCATTGAGCAAGAGTTTGAGGGTTCATAGACTTAAACTGGAGGACGTACATGCGACACTTCCTGAGGATATGCAGCGCCTCATCATATGTCATCGCATCATTATTATTTGCCCACGTCTCTTTGAGTCTACAAAGCTGGGCATCCACTGGCTCAGGCAATGAGTCACCCGGATCCAGCTCGTTCCAGTTTCCGAGAGTAATGAGGCTGCTCATTGGGCCATCCTTTAAATATTGATATGTTGGAACCAACACGGCGTTGATACCTCGCGCCATGGGTATCCACTCCATGCCAAGGACTCGGTCTCTCCGCAGACGAGCGGCGGTTCGCTTATCTTGATCTGGCAGCTGCTTCGAGATGCTGAAGACATATATGATATTCAGAAGCGACCACGCGAGTAATGCCTCGCTATTTTCATTGTTAATATTGTTGGAGGCATCCTGAAACCCTTTGATAGCTTCCTCGTGATGTTTAGTTGCCTCGACAACGTAAGGGCTGTTCTTTGTCGCACTAATGTATGCAAGGTGCAACGCAGCCAGGCTTAAGATGGCATGGGCTACGAATGGGTGTTCGAAACCTATCCGTGGGAAAGTCACTTGCCACAGAGAGTCAACCGGAGCGCTTTTGAAGATGTCGATGCTGGTTGAAACTGTCCAATGGTGCAGGAGTGCAAGATCATTGATTCCAAATGAAGGTGCATTGGCAATGGGCGCCCGTATTAGACTGGAAACAGTAGCCGGGGTGGCAGCTGATGGTGAAAGATGTTCTGAGTGGGGAGTGGCTGGATCATGATTGGAAGAGCTTTGAAGGCGGGATAGACCAGGGGGCCCCGATGTATGAGAAGCTGGTGTGAGGACAGCCGGTATTCTGGATGGAGAAACTCCTGCGCCGAGAGACTTGTCGGCAGATGGAACTGGGTCGGAAGTAGCTATCGGCGTATCTTCGGTATGAGGTTGACGGCGCCTAGAAGAAATGACATCCACGCTCGCCTCTAGTCCGGATAAGTCTGTAGGTCTTATGTTACGCGCAGAAGCCGAGGAGGAGCTTGTTGCCGCACGTCCGGGGCGCCTCCTGCCCTCGGCATACTCGCAAACAGCATTCCGCCGAACGCAAGCTCTGCACGCCGGTCTTTCCTCGGTGCACTGAGAAGATCAGTGTCAGAAGGTAATGGGCAAGTTTGAGCTTGGAGGTCGTCGTACCTTGACTCGGCGGTGCCGACATTGTAAACAGCCAGTCGTCGTCTTGGAGTGCGGTTTGTGCGAATAACGGCGATCCGTGTTACGTTCGGCCATTACCGTCCGATAAAGGCATAATCGTTGCGGAACGGATAGCAGGTCGCGCTGGGAGCGGGTGAACGAGGAACGGAGGCGAATGGAGGCGAAGTGGTGGAAGAGGATGTTGGGGAACGAAAAGGTTAATGAACGAGGAACGAAGGCTAGCTAACATAAACGAGGATGAAAGAACCACAGATGGCAGCTAATCGTGTGCTCAAAGCGCCACCCTGATCTATGAGTGGCCTAGCAGTGGGTAATGTGAGACTTGCCGAGTAATGTTCGGGCTAATGCCGTATGCGATAGTCCGAGGCCCTCGTACATTTGCCGGGCTTTTCTGGCTACTCGCCCACCTCGCTCGCTTTCCAACGAACCAATGTCTCCACTGGTAGCGTGCTGATGATGGCATATGGTTTTGGGAACATCCTGGGTATCAACATTCTATGCTATCTAACGCGTCATCTAATGACGTTTCCATGAACCGCAAGATTCTCAGTATTTGGCACCAGACCATCCCTCAAGCATTCAGTGGCGTAGATTTGCGCCTCTCATCCAATACGTAGTCGCTAGATCCCGAGGTCTCACGACCATCCACAGATCGCGCCCGTTCCTTCGGTTCCAACTCCTGCACGTACCAAACAAGGAAGATTGTCATGACAATCGCCATGAGCAAGGTGTCGAAGATGTACAAGAAGATCTCGTGCAAAATGAGATATCCCTTGTTTCCTTGCAGATACTCGACCACCCTGAAGACGCTTCTAATGAGGATAATGGCGCTCGTTGCATA